CTGATCAACAATTCGATCATCTTGTGGTCACAATCACCCCTACAACCTCTCGCTCATGTGCCCAATCCACACTTATCCAAGAACCGGAGTCATGGTGGCAGGTTCCCTCCACACTTCTCCAAGAACCATGGTCATAGCGGCAATGGTGGTGGTCAAGGAAAGGGTGCATCCAAGAGTCGGGTATGTAATCATCATGGTCACAGTGCTCTGACTTGTCATCATCACTTTAATCCTTCATATCAACTTGGGTCTTCTTCCGGACCTCCTACTAACAATCCTCAGGCTAATGCCGCAATCCTACTTAATCTCATACTCAACTCCAGTAGCTTCAATTGGTACCCTGACTTGGATGCTACTCATCATATAACACATGATCTGGACACTCGCTTGAACAAGACTGAATATGATGGACCGGATAAGGTTCACCTTGGAGATGGCTCAGGTTTGCTCATCACACTCAGAAGACTTCTTCATTTTGCGTCAATAATCATCGCTTTCATATTCATAATCTCTCTATGTTCCTTCCATTTCTTCATAATCTCTCTATGTTCCTTCCATTTCTAAAAATCTTCTCTCTGTTGTTAAGTTTACTGGTGATAATAATTGTGTCCGTATTTCACCCTTCTTATTGTCTTGTGAAGGATCGCAACAGTGGTCGCACGCTAATCATGGGGGATCTTCGTGATGGTCTCTATCACCTCTCATCCAGCAATGTGTCCTCTTCCTTGGCTCTCTCGGCCTCGACTACACGTTCACCCTCTCTGGAAATGTGCCATCATTGCTTTGGCCATCCCACCATAGATATGGTGCGCACTATCCTTTCCAAGGCGTCTATCTTCTTTTCTTCTAGTGAAAATAAGTTAGGCTCAATTGCACTTAAATACTTTACCGTTTAACCATATTTACACTTAAATACCCTAACTTGTAAAATATCACTTTGATACCCTAAATTATAAAAAATAGCACTTTAATATCCTTAGTTGTAAATAACTGACACTTAAATACCTTATTGTTTCACTAGCTTTACAATAGCGCTTTAATATCCTAAGTTATAAAAATAGCACTTTAATACCCTAAGTTGTGAGAAATTAGCACTTTAATGCTTTCTGTTAGTTATCAGGACGCATTCTTAGGAATATTTCTATGACAACCACCACAAGGTACTAAAGTACCTATTTTTTACAACTTAGGGTATTAAAGTACTACTTTTGACAATTTAAGGTAATTAAGTGTAAAGGTGGTGAAGCAATAGGGTATTAAGTGCCTTTTAGCCATTAAGTTGTGCTCATCTTGTGCTATGGGCAAATGTCATATGCGTTCATTTTCTTCTACTCTATCCGTGTTAAGGAATATTATAGAGATCTATTAGATTAGAAATAATATATTAGAAATATGTGATTAAGTGATATTCAGGATATAATTGGATATGATTTAATATCATATCTATTTTGTAATATCCTCCTAACCCTATTTAAGTAAGGTTAGGGTTAGATGAATAATATCTTGACCTTAGCATTTTTTCATTTCTCACCATGGTATCAGAGCCAAGTTATTGGAACTAGAGACCTTCCTCCATGATCTCGTGGCCGTCGAGGGGATTTGCTACACTACATGCATCCCTCGGCAGCTTCAACATTGACCTCGACTACATCAACTCCCTTATCGGTCGTGACACTGTTCATCAGCAGTGGTACTGTTCATTCGTGCAATACTGTTCACTCGAGAGACTATTCATCGCCTTGGGTATTGCTCACCCGAGAGAACTGTTCATCCAGCCCAAATTTTGCTCTTTTAAGCTAATCATTTGGCTTAACCTAATAGATCTTCATAGATCTTAAGTAAACTAATCATTTGGTTTAATCTAATAGGTCTTCATAGATCTTAAGCAAGCTAATCATTTGGTTTAATTTATTAGACCTTCATAGACCTGAAGGTGAAAGTACTGTTATTGATACTGTTCATTCGTAGTTACTAATTCACCACTGATGCTGTTAGGGCTATTGTTCATCTGCGGTATTGTTGGCTACGAGTGACTATTCGTTCGGGCCGTCAATCACCTTCATGCCCTAAATCCTCGCTTTGGATGATTGATCTCTCATAGATCTTCATGATTCGATCTTGTCCTCATCATCGACATTTGCCTTATTGTCCATCTTTGCTCGAGCCCAAAGTTAACTCCACCTTTTGTATCATTTGTTGCTAGATCCTTAAAGAATAATCATTTGTTGTTGGATCCTTAAAAAAAAGGATCATTTGTTGTTGGATCCTCCAAAGAAGAGGATTATTTGTTGTTAGATCCTGTAAAGGATCATTTGTTGTTGGATCCTCCAAGGATCATTTGATCGGTGGAGTGTGTGCACTTTATTTGTAAACAAGCTGGACATGTATCTCATACATGCTCTAGGAGAGTGTTAAGGAATATTATAGAGATCTATTAGATTAGGAATAATATATTAGGAACATGGTTTTGAGAAGTATTCGGGATGTGATTGGATATGATTTTATATCATAACTATTTTATAATAACCTCCTAACCTCTATTTAAGAGAGGTTAGGGTTAGACGAATAATAATCTTGGCCTTTTTCTATTTCTCAACAATCTGAATCGTCGTTTCCTTTAGAGTTGTTAGTCCATATGGAGATTAGGGGACTTGCCCGGTTTCTTCTTGTAATGGCTATCGCTACTCTATTCATTTTCTAGATGATTATTCTAAATTCTCTTGGTTTTATCCTCTTGTTCAACATTCAGATGTGTTTGATATCTTCGTTAAATTTTGCAAAATGTTGAAGTTTCTCCAAATTGACGGGGTAGGTTAATTTCTTTCTTGATGATTACAAACTGATCTCTCTGCTAATGGTATTGGACATCGCATATCTTGTCCCCATACCCACCAACAAAATGGGTCCGCCTAACGAAAACCTCGACATATCGTGGAAATCAGTCTTTCTCTCTTATATCACTTGGTGTTCCACTCAAGTTTTGGTCATTTGCTTTTAAAACTGCAACTTATCTTATTAATCATCTTCCCACACCCAATCTAAAAGGATTGTCACCTTATGAACTTCCTTTTCATCACAAGCCCGACTACAGACCTTTCGCTGCTCCTTTGGTTCTCTTTGTTTTCCTCACCTTCGCCCCTACAATCACAATAACTACAACTGTGATCCCTCCCTCGCGTCATTCTTGTCTATCCTACAGGTTATCATGGTTATCGTTGTCTTGAACCTACCTCTAGTCCTATATTCATTACTATCAGTGTCTTTTTTGATGAACACACCTTTCCTTTCCTCACTAAACATACTTCCAAGTCACCTTCCTCACCTCCATCATCCCCTATCCCTGTGCCCAGTGATGTGAATATTTTTCCTATGCAACACCCTTATTGTGTCTCTATAGGTTCTTCTATTTCAGCCACAAGAAATATTAGAACTGGTACCGTGAATAACGATCAATCTTTGTTGGTTTATCAACGGTGCACCTGCCCTTTGACTTTAGCCTCTCCGCGACTGACACCTAATGTGAGGGCGCTGCCTTTGGTCTCTCCGCCATCGACACTCACTGCTACCGTTATACCTCTAGCCATTATAGCAGATTTACCCTTGCAAATAATGCCTAAATCAATGTTAGAGTCTGGGTCATCATCTGCTACAACTTGTCCACCGCTGTTTGAGAATATGGTGTCCCTTTCGACGGCTGTGGACCTTGTTCTTCCTTCTGTTCTACCTCCTATGGATGCTCCACCTGCAGATGCTCCTTCGCGACCATCCCACTCGATGATCACACGCTCTATGGATGGCACCTACGTCCTCGCGTCTTTGTCACCTCTTGACAAGTCGATGTCAAGGAACCGACAACTTTCACTCAGGCCAACACCCATCCGTTTTGGAGTGAGGCCATGGTTGATGAGTATAATGCCCTCCTAAGCAATGCCACATGGTGCCTTGTTTCACCTCCAGTCAACGCTAATGTTATTAGCTGCAAGTGCGTCTTCAAATTAAAGAAACATGCTGAAGGTTCCATTGATCGTTACAAAGTGATTAAGAAAGTTCGTTAGATTCGTGTGGTTTGTAAGGAAAAAGAGTGAAACTTAATTTTGTTATAGCTTAGGATATGACTGAAAAACAGGCCTCTAAATCTCTAATTGGTACAAGCTTGTGGCCAGGGTTAAGGTAGGACCTACTTTGACCATCGCTTCTACAGTCTGATGTTACTAATTAAAGTATTAATATGAAGAGCACATCATATCCTAGGTGAATATCCTACATGGATGTGAGAAAATGAATTCTGGTACTAGTCCGTAGAACTCAAAATCGGAGCTACCTTGTTTCGTGAGGAATCATGGGAAAAGGTTTGTGGTTAAACATGTTCAAAAGAAACTTTAGGTTGAGACCTTTTGGGAAGTTGTTATTAGAGCATTGCTAATGGTATAAAAGCTCCACACAGCTGGAAGTGTTCGGGACTCGCCACATGAAGGTAAGTGTTAGACATGACAAAAAAATATCAACTGTACAAAGATTGGTTGGGGCCACCTATAAAGTTCCACATTGTCAAGTGAGTTGTTATTATGATCAAGAAGCATACTATAAATATGAGTATGCTACACCCAAAGTGATTACAATGCTACACCCAAAGTGATTGCTCTAACATGATTGTAATCTAGAAGTGACGTGACTTTGATATATAATAATTCCTATAAACTAAAGAGTTACCATTAAAATTTTACGGAAGGAACTAGTGGGCAGAAAAAATTTCTTAGGGGGGACGGACATCTATCTCTTTATCTAAAATATAATATTATAAAGCTGTAATAACTGATGAGAATGCACTTGGTACACCTTGTTAGCTCCATTGCGTCGTATTTTACTTGATTGATTTTCTAGTGTTTGCACTTTTAGTGTTTGGGCCCATTTGCCCTAACTGTTTGAGAAGTTAAATTGCTTACTAATTTTAAATGGGTTAAATGTAATGGGCTATTAACTTCTTTGTTATTATTATACAGAGGTTGTAGCTCGCTCTGTCAGTTTACTAGCAATTACTGTCCACTAGAAAGACACCTTTACTTTAAGAAAGATGAGAAGACGTCTGAACAAGAGTGGAACAAGAAAAGCAGTTGTGCTCTCTCTTATTATACCACTTCCCACTTTTGGTGCACTTGCTAAGCGCTTTAGTCAGATCAGCCTTACCACTACAAGGCCGCTGGTAAATCCGTCTTTTTTTTCTTCAAAATAATGAACTACCGCAACGACACGTGGTGTGCACGTAGCCCGTTCAAGGAAGTCATTCTCCCAAGAGAAGCCTTGCTGAGATAAGAGACAGTTAGCTCTTAAAAAGCAGGAGCGGGAAGCGAAGCAAGTGGTAAGAGCGAATCTGGTTATTAATCTAAATAGGTGATTATTTCATCCTTCTGTCGCTGATCTATATCAGCACATGGGTTCTCTTTCACTTTACAACATTCTCATTTTTCAAATTATTTAAATTTAAGGGAGCAGATTGTAATTTCATAAGGGTTTAAATGACAATTCTGAGATATTTTTGGGCACACCATACACCCCCTACTGTCACATATTCATATATATATATATATATATATATATATAATATATATACTATATATATATATATAACATAACACAGACACACACACACACACACAACCCTGCGAAGGAATCATGGGATTTCATAGTTAAGCATGTAAAAATGGAAGAATATTAGGATAAGTGAGCTCATTAGAAGTTCTTCCTTGTAGCGTGGAAAAAGGGGGAAGATAATAGATTTGCTATATAATGATATATTTGACTATGAAGCACATATAAAGCTGAGAGGTGGACAACACATCCCATGACCAGAACAAGAATAGGAGGTATTCACAACTACTGACTCTAAACATTTGAGAGAAAGGGCTTGGTTTATTTGAAGCAATGTTAATAATGTAAATGTTCTATTCAATAGCGTTAGTCATGGCATGTTGTCATGCGGGAGGGGTTGCATGCAGTTTCGATCATGAAACACATCTAGCAAACTTATTGTTGAGTTCGTTTTGATGCATGCTGTGGAGGATCTTGTATGTGTTGAATATGGCTTGCATTGAAACAATCCTAATTTGATTAGGATTGGAAGTTTGACTTTAACCAGAAAGACAAATTACAATTGGAATTGAATCCAATTGGAAGAGGACTAAGATATGAATAATTCTAGAAATCATTATGAGTAATGAATTCTATGAAAAGTAGGATTTGTATAAGGCATCATGAGAAAGAATCCTAAAAGATTAGAATTAATCAAAGGAAGTAATTCTACATGAACTCAAAATAGGAGAAAGAGAAATATATAAATACCCTTGAGAGGCTTATTGTAGATGCATCAAGCCAAAAGAGAGAAAAAAAAAGAAGAGAGAGTACTCTTGTGAGGATTTGCAAGAGAAAAGGGAGAATTGTAATTTTCTTTTAAGTCAATTAAGTTCTCTCCCCCGCCTCCCTTGGACATTGGCAAATTGTCGAACCACGTAAATCTCGTTTTCTTGGTTTGTGAATGCATGCTAGTTCTCTTTGAGATTATTTTGTTTTGCATTCGTCAACAGGTTTCGACAGTAAACCTTAAAAGTAAGGTGTTGGATTTCTGATCAATCTCCAACAGTATACTAATGCATGCTGTATAGGTTCCTTATAATGGCTTATCCATTTTAAGGTTTATGTAATTCTATCTTTATTCTAGTTATCAATTTTTTACAATTCTTTTTTTCCCGCTCTCATTATTTGCTATTAGACTGTGTATCAAATTTGGTGGAGTCAGAGTTTTTACAACTTTCAATGGTGCTGTGAGTTTGACAAGCAATTGTTATTACTTCTATTTTTTCCCGCGAATTTATATGATTAGGGGAAAAACATGTGATGTAATAGTGGGCCCTTTATTTTATCTGGATGTTGGCTGTTCAATCTCTCTCATCGCTCTCTGCTGCCTCCCTGCCATCCTCCCCCTGTATCTTCTGTTATTACTGTTCAACATAATGCACTTAATATCTTTGGTAACATGAAATGTCTCTCTTGGATAATCAGGCAAAGTACATGTGATCGATGCCTGGGTTTGCTTTTAACATGAACTGATTCAGTAGTAGACAGCTACATCTCAGCCTTTCAGAATTTGAATTTCTCAATGAAGAATTCACCGTGCATTCATATTTGTGTGCATTCATATTTGTCACTGACAACATGTGGGCGAGTTGGGAAGTTGACTAGCTCTCATCATTTAATTTATTTAAAGTGAGGGAAATTGACTGTTGGCAATCTAACTCCTGTTACTGTTATTATGCATGCTTCCTATCCAGCATTTTACATTATTTCACTTCAGCAGTGTTCCAGCCTATCTCAGAAGCTCAGTGCAGGAAAAGAGTCATATCCTGCGCTAGATGGTCACTTTAAATCCTGCTCTGACTCTCCTTGAGTTTCAAGTTTTACTGTTGATATTTTATGCCACAGCAGCATTTAGCAATCACATGGTAGCGGAAAGATACATTTCCATTAGTTTCAACCTTTTCATGACTTCTTTTTTCCCCTAGGAGCAAAACTAAGTTGTAACATGCCTCGTTGCCTTCTTCAATATTGGATATCTGGTTGTGGTGTGACTAGCCAATGTCAAACGTTCCTCTAAATCAACAAAGAGAATGGGAAAGTCATTCTTTTTCAACCAAAAGTGTTTGACAACATCAAATTTTATCCATAATTCAGCCTTTCTAGCTGAATTTTGGTATTCACCAAAACCATGTAATCAGTAACTTCGCTTTTTTTCTCTACTTACCCTATAATCTGTAACCTCCCTTCTACTTCTCTTTACTTCTCTCATATGTTCATATATTTCTCTTTTCTTTCTCCATTAATAACTTCTGGTTACGGCCCTTCTTCTTTAAAAAAAGGGGGTCTCATCTTGATCCACTGTCAAATAATTGGTCTTTGGGTATTCTACACAGATTTTATTTTCTTTTATCTTTATTTTGTTACCACTTTGTTTTTATATTTATGAGGGAGATGGTTGCATTCCCCCCACCACCCCCAAACAGCAAGACAGGCCCGTGTAGATCTGCTTCTATTGAAGGAGACTACCGTCTGAGCTTTGGGTCCCTGTTTTTTCAATTGAGTACCATCTTTTGCTACATGCACTTATTGAGAACTTGGATACTGTCTATACCTACACACACTAGTTGTGGACAGTCAGCGATGTTGCATGTGATTGCTGTCCTCTGTATGTTGCCCTAAGAGCAAGCCACATTCCATTGAGTCCAATGTGCAGGAATTATTATCCTTCTAACCAACAGATACATGTCGGTATGGGTCCATGTTCTATTATTACCTAGTTGATGGTAGAGCGAGCAAGTGATGCGGGCAGTACTTGCATGTTTGTTATAGACATGAATGCTTAGCAGAAAGTGTCCTTGGTCTTGCTCATAGCGTTCTTTTTAGAATTATCTGTTGTTCATAGGAATGGGATTCATGTTATGATTTAGCTTGTCATCTTCCGTTATGGTTGCAGGTGATTTTTTGTTAAGATTAATACTGAAATGGTGGATGTGTTGCATAAAATCGTATTTAATGATACAACGTGATAATGTGTCCCCCCCTAATGCTATCCTAGTCACACTTTTTACAAGAAGGCTTTAGACAGTTTTTTAGTGCGAATTGATAACAGTTAGAGACGGAATGTATGAATTTCTTCCAACAGTTGTTGGTTTGGTCTCATAAAAAAAAAATTGTAATGTGTAGGTCCAAAAGATTATACTCAAGAGGCTCAGATGACAATGCCCTAACCCTCTGGTCATTCCTAAGGCGACGAGGACAACCACATAAGCTGATTTATTTGGCATTATAATAGTAGAGATGTAAAGGTATAATTTGCTGGTATGTAAAATAAACATTATTGTCTTCTCTACAAACATATTCTTTTACCTTATATTTGGCATTTGTGGAATTCTTCTCCGAGCACTTGTTTTATGTTAACATCTTAACCTTGCTCCATGTCTATTACGGGCTGAGTCTTTTTATTTTATGTTACCATGTATGTGTATAATTTCTTGCAATTTCCGCATTGTCATGTGCTCATCAGTTAAATTGTCCTTAGAATTCCTTTTTTTTGGCTGGTGCATTTGTTCTCAATAGTTGCTGTTTTTTTATGTTTAGTTGTTTAATTTCTTAAACTAGTTACTGCAATGTGTCTTTTATATCCATTTTATTAAGTAATATCTGATACTCCATCACCATCCGTATTGTTTTCTGAGAACAATACATAGACTAGTTTTATCAGGTTTGTATGGGATTCTGGCTTATTGTTTGCTCACCTCATTTGTGATCTGTGCTTAGCTTGAAACTAGTCAATTCTTTCGAGTCTTAACTAGGAAACCAGAATTTGCACGACTTGTTTTGCGTACATATATGTACTGATTTTAGTAACGGATCCGTTATGTTCAACGTTTGAATTCTACACCTTACGAACCCATTCCATGGTTTCTGGAGGTTTCCCTCCCTTCAATGAGGAAGCAAGTTGCTGTAGCTCCCAGACAACAGCAGGAGCGCAGAACCATGCAGGTTTGCTTCTGTTTAGACTCCATCTTCACATTGCTGATGCTGAGTCATCGATCTCTATTCTCCCCAGTGATTGTCACCCTTCAACATGTATTGTCTGAGTTAATTGTTTCATTATGTCACATGGGGATCTCCTCATGCGGAGTGTGGGCATGGATTGGAGATGCCCTCGAGCTTTCACAGAGCCCGAACAGGATGTGGGCATGATTGCAAATGAGTCCCTTCTTTGCCCCGACTTGATCCGAGAGTGTGGGATCGCTGGCCCAGGATCACGCAGGCTTTAAAGCAAGCATATGATTTAAGCAACGGCTCACACGCAGCCCTCCTACATGCTCGGCAACAGCGCGCAGCCTAGTTTTTAGTTACAGTTATTTCGAGCCCTCTATGAACGCAAGTATGTTGGGCTCGGTCCATTACTGTAATTAAATCCAGTTCACGGGCCAAGTTCTCTGACTCAGCAGAAAACATCGATCAACTAGGGGTGGATATGCGGAATGGAAAAGACCTCACTTACTATGAGTGGGACAAGTGAAGAGTCGAGAGCTGTACACCTGTCCATATTCATTCTGCCCTTTTCGTTTGTTCCCTTTCCCCCCCCCCTAAATTATTAACGACAGTTTGCTATCCTCTAGAATCATCATCCTTCAGCCAACCAAGTAGGGGTTCATGGGGTCGACGCTATCAAGGTGTTTATACTTTATATATTATAATAAGAGGGAGTAGCAGAATGTTGACGCTTGGCGGGACACGTATTCGGTTCATGTCTAGATTAGAATAGGCTTTGTTCGGTCACTGTGTCCTTGGATTCCGGCAGGATTAGGGGTCCCCCGATGAATGACGTCATCGGGTTTTCCGTCGCTTGGCTCAGAATTAGAATTGTGGTGGTGATCCATTGGTTCATTGGGCTTGGGCCAGCGGCCGTGTGTTTCTTGGAAAGGAGACCGAGCACCGGCGTTGCGGATTGTGGGGGCGAAAAAAAAAAGTCATATACTGCTCTCTCGAAGTAGAAAATCATATGGATAGGAGGGACGATACGATATTTTTGTCACTATCAATTCTAAATCAATGTATTGATCAATTCTACATTGATGTAATCAAGTGCAACAATAACTAGTCATCTTTAGACATGGTCTAAGCCAAATAATGTATGAGACTCAGTAGGTCACATGACTATCACTTCAACAGGCTCGCAAGACTGAGATGTGATAAGTGGTAGCAGAGTAGTTAGCTAGCTGGTTGTTTGGAATTAATTGTGATTCGAGACTTAGTGTTACATCGTGTGAACATGGTGGCAGTCACTTCTAGAACTCGCAGGAGACGCTTTCTAAAATCTAATCTCCTAATGGTTATCCTGGATGAACCATTATCATGCTTAACAAGGGTTGTGTCACGTATTTGAGGTATAGTGATTGTAGATACCACATTCATTTGTCCTCACTAAGAACTTTACGAAAGAACGTATATGTCTGTATGGTAAGTGTAGAAAACAGCGTCAAATTGTTCAAAGTGTTAGCAAACATGAAGATTCGACAGGGGTGTGATGTCTGTCATACCAAGGTGTGACAGAATCTTCCCCTGTTGTCAGGGGTGTGATGTCTGCTACACCCAGGTGTGGCAGAATCTACCCTGTTTTCAGGGGTGTGGTGCGTGTCACACCCGGGTGTGGCAGACTCGTTTTCAGAATCCTATTATGTTTGGGATTGTGTTTTGTTATAAATAAAAACACGTTTTTTAGGATTTTTTTAAGGAGAGAATAAGCTGTCTTTTGAGCACTTTGAGAGGGAGATATTGTGAGGGAGTTGAGAGCTTTGTTAAGGGTTATATTTGAGTAATTTTATGAGTTGTAACCCGTTGTATTTCTCCTCCATATAGTGAAATCTCCCCATCATCTTTCCGTGGATGTAGGTAATTGCCGAACCACATAAATTCCTGTGTTTAGTTTGATTTGTGTCGTATTTGGTGAATTGCACTCGTAATTTGGTTTGGTTCTCTTCTCTCATCGCTCACCGACTCGTTTGGTTGTCGAGCACGCTTCCGCACGGCGCGTAACAATAAGTCATGGGAAACAAATGCAACAATGTCTAAGTTAACAAAATGTCGTACTTGGTGGGTCATGTCATGTATTTGAGGTATAGGGATTGTAGAACCACATTCATTTGTCTGCACGAAGAACCTACGAAAAAATGGATGTGTCTATATGATAAGTCATGGGAATCAAGTGCATCAAGGGTCGCATCACGTATTTGAGGTCTAGTGATTGTAGATACCATATTCATTTGTCCGCACTGAAAACTTACAAGAGAATGGATGTGTGTATGTCTATATAGTAAGTCATGAGAATCAAATGCAACAAGTTTCGCGTCACATATTTGAGGTATAGTGGTCATAGATACCACTTTTATTTGTTAGTACTGAGAACTTATGAAATAATTGATGTGTCTATTTGGTGAGTCATGAGAATCAAGTGCAACAATGAAAGTCAACAATGTGTTGTATTCACTGAATCCTGATGCTTACAGGGTTGTAGGTGTTGCGCACCTATGCGGAAGTGTGCTCGCACACCGAACGAATCTGTGATCACGGGAGAAGAGAACAAACCACAGACGAGCACAATTCAATCCAAATACGACAAATCAAACCAAACACAGAGATATACGTGGTTCGGTAATTTGCCTATGTTCACAGGGAGAGGATGAGGAGATTCCACTAAATCAAGGAGAGTACAAAGGGTTACAATCTAACCAAACCACTCACACAAATGCTAAACCAAATCTCTCAACTTGCTCACAAGTTCCCCCTCTCAATGTACTCAGTACAATCTAAAATATCTATTCTGAAACCTTAGACAATCGTGTTTTAATTTATATCAAAACACAACCCAATGCGAATAGGAAATCAAATTCAGGCCCAGCCCGACTCGCGGTCGATTGCAGATCCACGTGCGGTCGATCGGATCCAACGACAGAAAGCAGTTTTCATTACAGTGTTTGGCCGGTTGATCGTCGCGCCATTCGCGTTGAGCGCGAAAAGTCCAGAGACTTTTCCAAGAGCTGTGCACGTTTCCGATCGACCGTAGAGTCAAGTGCGATCGACCGCTGGAAGTTCAAAACAGTTTATGTAGTTTTTCCTGTAATCTCTTCAATTCTCCACATCGGTGAAGTTTTCCAAAACTGAGCTGACACCAAACAAAGAGCACCAATGCGTCGTCTCTCCAAAATCGGCTGCACCAATATGGTTGCCTACGTACCCCCTCTCCTAAGGGATCAAGCCGCCCATAGTTCATCCAAATGACCGTTAATGACCTGAACAATCATAAATGTGCAACAAGTTTTGACAATAATCAAACTTGTTGCTTGGAACCACCTTAGTGAGCATATCCGTTGGATTATCCTTCGTGTGGACCTTCACAATCTTCACATCGCCATCTTCAAGAACATCCCGAACGAAGTGATAACGAACGTCAATGTGCTTCGTCCTCGCATGAAAAACCTGATTCTTCGCTAAATAGATAACACTCATACTATCATAATGAATAGTGACGAACCACTACGATATACCAAGTTTCTCCAAAAGTCCTCGAAGCCAAATAGCCTCCTTCACAGCCTCCGTAATCGCCATATACTCTGCCTCTGTCCTCGACAAAGCCACCGTAGACTGTAAGGTGCATCTCCAACACACCGGCGTACGGGTCAAAGTGAACACATACCCCGTCATAGACCAACGTTTATCCAAATCCCCGACATAATCCGAATAAACATAGCCACTGCACAACTGCTCACATGTAGTGTTCCGCTCATAAACCAAACCAACATTGAGCGTACCTCGGATGTACCTCAAAATCCATCTCACGGCGTCCCAATGACTCACTCCTAGATCGTGCATGTATCTCAAAACCATGCTCACCGCCTGTGACAAATCTGGCCTCGTACATACCTTTGCGTACATAAAGCTTCCAACCGCGCTCGCATATGGAGTCTTCGACATTAACTCTCGATCTTCAACTGTCTTCGGTGAAAGGTCAGCTGAAAGCTTCAAATGGGCTCCCAAATGTACACTAACTGGTTTCATATCCATGCTAACATAAAATCGCTGTAGAACCTTCTTCAAATAAGCCACACGTGTCAAACAAATGATGCCCTTATCTTTGTCTCTACCGATCTCTATCCCTAAAATGCGCTTAGCCTCACCCAAATTCTTCATCTCAAACTCCTTTGAAAGTTGTGCCTTCAACTTATTTATAGAAGACCTAGAAATAGAGACAATCAACATGTCATTAACATAGAGCAACAAACAAATGTACGCACCTTCTTTCAACTTGCGAAAATACACACAAGTATCAAACTGGCTCCGAGTGTATGAATGACCGATCATAAATCCATCGAATCGCCTATACCACTGTCGAGGAGACTGCTTCAAATCGTATAGCGATTTCTTCAACCTACAAATCAGATTTTCCTTCCATGCAGTTCAGA